TGTTTCCACACCTTGATGCCTGGAGACAATGACTTTCCACACGGCTGCTGGGCACGGGATGCCCCTGACCCTGAGCTGGGAGGGCACAGGGCCCTGCTGACCCCACCTTGCTAGAGCTGACGGGTTTTTCTGGTCTGTCAGGATCTCTTTATTTACTTTTATTGTTTCACGTGTACATCATGATATTCCAATTTCTGTGTGGACTGTAGCGTGTTCACCATCAAAAGTCTAGTTGCCATCAGTCACCCCACAAATGTGTCCTTCCCCCCTGCCCCCCCCCCCGACTTTGTTAGGATCTCTTGGGATCCTGGCTGTTACCCTGTTTACTTCTTGGGTTTGGATCTTACCCCAAATTAGATCGGTTCACGTCTTCACTCAAGATCATAATGTTGCTCATCACGAGGCTCGGAAGAGAGCTGGTGGCACATCACTAGAACCTTCTTCCAGGTGAACGTCCGTCCATCCATCTGCGGGAACATTGAGTCTGACGTGAATTCACTTAAGCGATCTGCCATCCAGCTCACGTGGCCCCACTGTCGACGACGACACCCTAGGAACTTCACCCTCGTGGACAGGAATTGTCGTGTTGGGCTGCTCACAGCACACCCCCAACATGACAGCAACCTAAACCGGATGGTGATTTATTTTCTGTCACAATGAAGAAATTCCAGGGTACACATGCTGGGCCAGTGTGGCACTTCCACGTAGTCATCAAGGCCTCAGGCTTCTTTTTGCTCCACCATCCTTACTGTGTGATTCTGTCCTTGACGTTGCCTCAGGCTCACAAACTGGTTGCTCAAGTGTCTGTTGTCCAGGTAGGAAGAGAATATAAGAGGGCAGAGCCACAGGACCGCACCTCTCTGCTTTAAGCAGCTTTCCCGGAAGCCCCGTCCAACACCTCCACCAACACCTCAGGGGCCGTTCCACCTGCAAGCGAGGCTGGGAACTGAGGCTTTTCAGCTGGGCAGATCACCACCCACAATAACACAGGGTCTCGTCATTAAGGAAGAAAGAACAGAGGCTGAAACAGACCCCGGGTGGGCAACAAGAAGTGTCTGCCACACTCGTGAACAAGCCAGCGCCTCCTCCGATGACAGGAAGGAGGGGGTGAACCTGGTGTCACTGGCACACTGAGGCCCAGAGGTGATCACCTGACCCAGCAGCACATCGCCACAGACATCCCCCCTGTCGACAGGTGAGTCAGATGAGGAACAGAGCAGAGATGGCCCGAGTGGAAGCCCCGTGGGGCAGGGCTGGACCCAGCTCCTTGGCCCCGCACCTGGGACAAGTGCCATCACAGGAGGATGGATGCTTGTGGGTGCCAAGGCTGAAGGCCGGCTAGACGGACACCTGGGCTGGGACCCGGCCCAGCAGGACAAGCCGGTCCAGCCGTCCATTTCCTGGCCTTGGCTGGGCTGGCTGGCCCCGGCTCCAGCACCACCACCTGAGCTCTCCCGGAGCCTCTGCCCCGCAGTTCTGCTGACCCTTTGCCACAGGCCAGGAGCCCCAGCGCCCGCTGAGCAGGACCCTCACGCTGGGTTCACGGAGGAGAAAGGCTGGCAATGGAGGCGGGGAACCGGAAGTCTCGGAGAAGGAAGGCATGCCCTTCTTCAGGGCCAAGGCTGAAGATGTGGGCCCCCTACTCAGAACCCAGCCTCGTCCTTCACTCGCTTCATTCTGCCGCCCCGAACTGGCTAACGCAGGGCCCACAAACAGGCTCTGTGCTCAGTGCCATGCCACACATCATCTTAATTTACCCAGCAACTGAGGAGAAAAGTGAGGGTAAGCTAGCTGCCCAGGTTCTCACAGTCGGTGAGGGTGGAGCTGGGCCCCTAAGCCGACGTCTGTCTGATCCCACAGCCCGGCCTCCTGACCATCAAACTCCACTGCCTCCCGGGCTGCAGGCCCCGTGAAGAGCTGGGGGCCACAGCAAACCAGGCCAAGGGCCCCCATTCCAGAACCCGTGCTCTGACATCCCACAGCCCTCAGGGCCTGGGCTCTGGGGCTGGCCCCAACCTGGGGGCCAGGCTGTCCTGGAGAGGAAAGGACAGCATGCAGGGCTCTGTGCTGGCGTGGATTCCCATTTTCCCTAGACCCTTTCCTGGGAAATCCCTCCAGGCTGCCTCTAATGGGTAGAGGGTGGGAGAGAGGAGTAATCGTGGATATTCAGAACCTTCCTGGAGATCACAAGGCCATCCCAACACTCCATCTCTAGCTGCCCGGGCACAAGGCAGTGCTATTTGGCAAAAATTAAAAAATGCTAAAGATGCATCAATAAGGGACTGACTGTGGTATGAGCACGCTATGGAATATTACACAGCAGTTAAAAGGGTGAGTCAGAGAGCTCAGTGTCAACAGCACGTCGATCAGAACCTTCAGAATCCAGATCAAGAAATATATACGAAACCTGATGAGTTCGTTCACAACTGTCAATTACACGTAAGTAAAGTCCAGGATAGGACAATATGTCAAAATTTTATAGTATTGTGCAGCCTTGGACGAATATGATGATTTATTACAAATGATTTCCCACTATTTCAACCTAAGAAGTGTAGGATTGCCTGGTTTCTAAGTCCCCGCTGCTCTTAGGAAAAGCAGTAGTATCTTTTCTCTGGGTTTACACCCTTTTAAGTCATGAAATGTTGCATGATAACTGCTTCTTTCCAAAGAAAGCCTGTTTGAAATCAAGGCCATCGTTAATCGATTCCTTCTTTGTGCGCCATGGACAAACTACAACTTTCCTCTCCCCAAACACAGCAGCTGGAATAAAGTAAACAACAGTTGTCGTGACCAACGTTGTTCACTGTCAATCCTTGCTCCATCATAACGTCAGAGTGGTAACTGGGGCACACTTTCTCCAATATCGTAAAAAAAGTTCCTGAAGAAAGTGATGTAATTTCACCATTGAAAGTTTATCTGCACCACCTGCCATTTTATTTTTTTTTTACCACTTAAAATTACCCACTATGATGAAAATGGACATTTAAATCAACTATGACAACTACGACTGAGCTAACATGCGCTGGCCTGGAATGCTCTAAGATACACTGTTGAGCGAAAAAAAGCAAGTTACAGGCAACGTGCCATAACGTCACCTCACTTAGACTGCGTGTTTTCTGAAGACACCATGTTCCCGTGAACGCAGGGGCCAGGTCTGGAAGGACATGTGACAACAGAACAGCAGCTGTGACCTCTGGGGACAGGTTAAAGCGAGTCCAGCTCCATTTGCGGCGTTTCCATTTCTGCAAAGAGAACGGATTAGTTATGTCATTGGAGTAACTAAAAGTTAATTTTTAAAAACAGCCATAAAAGTACTACTGGGCACCTACTACTTCAGGCTGGCAAGGGCTAGTCTGTTCCTGAAACATCATCGTGTTGACCTTTACTTATTGATTACGAATTTTTTTTAATGTTACACCAGCTCAAAAGTCCACTTGGCTCCCCATGGCCTTGGGAGTATCATCCAGCTTCTTAGCCTGACCCCAGCCAAGGTGCACCCCAGCTCTCCACGCCGCCATCCTCGCACAGCTCCCAAAGCACCTTGGGAAGGCCCACTGCCAGGCCTTTGCTTAAACGGTTCCCACACCCAGAATGTTCTCTTTCTACCCAAGTCCTCCTCACGGCTCGAGGCCCGGCCGTGACCTCTCCTCCTCTGTGGCCCGAGCTCTACAGTCCTGGGCCCCCGTTTGGCCCTCAGCCCCGAGTTCAGCCTTTTCTCCCAAGATCACCGAGAACGCCGACGCCGCCTCTAACCTGGAATTACTGCTGAGGAGTGACGGCTTTTACTCTAAAACTTCATATGTCACAGTTTGTACGAAGAGGCTATATCAGCAGTTCTGTGAGTAGACGCTCTAATTATGAGGCCTGTTTTATAGAGAAGCTCAGGCTTAGAGAGGTTCAGGGCCCCACCCCAGGACACACAGCTAGTTGGTGCTGGAGCTGCTCACGATATAGCAGCCTGACACCCGTCTCTCCCCCAAGGCTGAAACCTCACGAAAGCACAGACCACGACCAGCTTGTTCAGCCTGGTGAGCCTGACACTTACCACCGGCTAAGTATTTAAATATTAAACAAATAATAAAAAGAATAATGCCTACAAGCATCTGGAAACGAAAGTGCCTTCTTTATAAAACAACAGCAGCAAGCGTTTCGCCACTTGCCAGGCCCCACGAAGCGGTTCCGTGGATGTACCCTTAGTGCCAGCACCACCCCCGGTGGTCTGTTATGTCATTACTGCTATGAGGATGAGGAAGCCTGAGCCTCAGAGGAATCGAGTGACTTGCCCAAGGTCTCACAGCACACAAAGAGGGTCTGACTCAGCCCTGCTTGGGGGATCCACCTTCCCCCATCATCACCCACTGCACCCCATTCCTCTTCTCCAGGATGCTCTGTTTTCCAGGGACTGTCATTAACTGTGTGCAGTGTGATGACTTTCTCAGTGTCATTCAGCAAATCAGCAAGTGCGGTTCCAGGGGACCCTGGAAGGTTCACGTGTGTCCCCTCCTCCCCGCGGCTGGCCTTGGAGGCCTCCCCAGCAAACGTGCAGGCCCTGGGTGGAAGTCACTGGGCACAGCCCCCCGGGGGCGGGTGATGAGAGAGGCGGCCGCTCTTCGCAGGGGTCCATGAGTCACTTGAGGGACAGCCTAGCCCCTCCAGACCATGCCACTGTCCACGGTCCTCTGGCTCCTGGGCACTCAACCTGAGCGGGCGGGGCAGGGGGTGGGACAGGGTGAGAAGCTCAGCAGCTGCATCCAGATGCGAATCGAATCGTCCTCACACACTTACAGACCACAAGGGCCTCCATCAGAGCCCCCGAGGGGTCAGAATCCACACCTCCGCAAATGGGCCCCCTTTCCCAGGGGCCCCCTGCCCAGACCCTCCCTGGCTCTGTGGGTTTTGACACCTCTCCGTCACCTGGTGGGGGGCCCCCTTGCACCTCGCCCGATAAAAGCTCAGGCCGGAGCTGGCGGGCGGGCAGCCTCCCAGAGCCGCAGCCTGCCATGGCCCAGTCCCCTCCTCTGCAGACCCTCCTCGGCCAGGATCGCTGGCTCTCGCCCCAGGGCTGGGGCTGGGCCGGCCACGCCGACTGCACGTCCCCGGCCTCCTCCTCCGACTCGTCGGGCTCGTGCCCTTGCGACGGCGCCCGCAGCCGCCCGCAGCCGGCGCCCCCGGCCCGCGCAGCCCGCGCCTCAGAGGCCGCCCCGACGGCGCCCGCAGGAGCACGGCCCGGAGCCGCCGGCGGCCCGCGGCAGAGCGCCAGCGAGCGCGAGAAGCTGCGCATGCGCACCCTCGCCCGCGCGCTGCACGAGCTGCGCCGCTTCCTGCCACCAGCAGTGGCGCCCGCCGGCCAGAGCCTCACCAAGATCGAGACGCTGCGCCTGGCCATCCGCTACATCGGCCACCTGTCGTCCGTGCTGGGCCTCAGCGAGGACAGCCTGCGGCGCCGGCGCCCGCGGCCCAGCGCCTCGCCGCGCCCTCGGGGCTGCCCGCTCTGCCCCGACGGCGGCCCCGCGCAGGTGCAGACGCAGACGCAGACGCGCGGCCCGGGCCTGGGCTCCGCAGCCGGCGCCGCGGTGTCCTGGGGGTCTCCGCCCGCCGACCCCGGGGCTCCGGGTGCTGCGTCGGAGCCCTGCGACCCGCTCGAGCTCCACGACGAGGCGGCGGGCCCGCAGGCGCTGGCGATGGAGCCGGGCCCCTCGTCTCTGGTGGGTACCTCCTCGACCGCGCAGACCCCCTCCCAGGGCCTCGTGCATGGCGCTGCCTACTGTTGGCGCCCCCGGCCACAGCCCCTGTGGGTACCCGCCCTGCCGCATCCCCCCAGCAGCGCGGCCTCGCCGGCCCGCGCCCCTGAGCAGCATAGCTGGTGTGCCCAGGAAGTCGGGCGGCGGGGGGCGGGGGAAGGGGAGACCGCGCAGGGGGCATGCTCGCGTTCCTCGCCCAAGGTCTCCTAGAGTGGAGCCCAGGAGCGCGACAGGCGGGCTCGGCGGCCAACGCTGAGGGCCACGGGGTCCCCTCTGTCCCCACAGCTCTTTCCCGATGAAGTGCTGGCCCTGCTGGAGACCTGGATGCCCCTGGAGTGGCCGCCCGCCTGAGTCGTTGAAGCGACGACGCACCGCTGGCGCCCCGTCTGTGAGCGCCGAGGCTTTCTTGGCCTCAGCTTCGAAGTGGTCCCTCCCCAGACTCTCTGTCCGGGAGAGGGTCCCAGCGATCCTGCCATGGCCCTTCCTGCGAGTGACAGCCTGTGCGCGCCCCGGCCGGCCCTCTCAGCCCCTGTCGCGGTGGAGGAACCCCTGGGCTACAGGCTCGGAGGCGGACAGGACGCTCTGCCTAGTGTGTCTTTATTTATTTGTGAATAAACTTTGTGCTGGTGACAGTTGACAATTTCTTCTTCCTCTGGAAGACATAGTGCTCCCTCCCCCTCCTCCAAAGAACAGAGGAAAGTTGGGAGGGTTTCTTGCAATTTCAGCCCCCAAAGCAAGCAGCCTCAGACCCCTTCCTCCTTGTCCCCGACCCTGGCTTAGCATCTCCTCTTCCAGCTGGGTGGGCCTGGAAGCAGGAGGCGCTTCAGATGAGAATGTGGCAGCAAGTGGACTCTGTCCGTCTTTTCTTTGAACCTGGTGGGAAGCTGGGTAAAAGCACAGTATCTGTAGAAGATACCTTTCCACTAGCGGGTACTTACTGTGCCTCACGTCCTCTCCATATTTTATACCCGAATAACCATTGTACAGAAGAAGAAACCAAGAATCAGCACTCAGGCCCTGATAGGACTTCAGGACCCGAGCCCGCAGCCCTGGCAGGATTGTGCCAGCTTCGTTCATTCTGGCCTGGGGGACACCAGCCCCAAAGGCTGGTTTCCGGTGTCTGGCGTCCCTATTCCCCTAGCGCTGGAGCATCACGGCCTGGACCTGGGATTTTTCCATCTCCCTTCACTCTGGTTTCTCTTCCATGTGGCTTAGGGACATAGCATCACTCTAATGCAGCGTATGTATTAGACATCGCTCCTCATTATTCCACCCCCACCCCTACCCCGGCCCACTAGTCCACTTTCTCTACAGCTTTGCTGGTTCTGGATGTTTCGTATGAGTGCAGTCATACAACATGAGGCCTTGGAGTCTGGCTTCTTTCACTTAGCATGACGTTCTCAGGGTTCATCCGCTCGTGTTGTCTCCTGTGTCTACTTCCTTTCTTTTATTGCCCAACAGTATTCCCCTGCAGGGATGGGCCACAGTCGACGTGTTTACCCATGGATGTTGGTCGGCTTGTTGGGAAACCACCTGGGAGAGCATTTCCAGTGCTGGGCCCAGGCCAGGAGGGGAGCAGTTCAGAGAGGGGTGGGGGTCACTGCTGCGTCACTCAGGAGTCCAGGCCCACCCGGGCCAGCATTTGGCTGCAGAGGGTGGGATCCAAAAGCAGAGGCCTTGGGGGGAGGAGCGGGACCTCACAGCTTTGCTGATCACCCCCTGTCCTGCCTCTCCACCCCCATCTCCCCTCCCCTCCCAGGACTCTAACTGGAGCAGAGCAGGAAGTCTTTTCCAGGAGCCTACCCAGTTCAGAAAGCCTATTTGCATGGCAAAGGCCCCCTGGTTTAGGATGGGGAATTAAAGTTATTAGCAAGTCTTTTCACAGAGAAGTGGGGCTCCTTGCCAGCCCCCTCCCCTGGGGAGGGCCTCTCCTGCCTGTCAGAGCTGGAGCCCTCCCCCGACTGTTGATTAGCACCTGGGTGTGAATTTTCATTAACACGTCCCTGCTAATAAGACAGGAGTGGAGATGGGAAGGGGCTGCCTCCCACCCCACCCCCTCCCCCCGCCCCTTCCTGGGCCAGCCCCACTGGCACCCAGAGCAGACGCTGCATCCCCATTCAGGGAGACGGGTCAATAACCAGCGTCCAGGTAGGTGAGCCCTGGCATGTGTGCTCTCAGTTCCCAGCTGAGGGCGAGGTGGCCCCAGTCCTCGGGGCTTCAGGATGGGAAAGTTAAGCAAGAGGCTGAGGAGCAGATGCTCAGCCTTCACAGGCAGCTGTGGTTCCAGAGCCCCCGGTGCTTCCCCGCTGTCCTGCCCTCCTGACAGCTCAGCCAGCTTGTCTCAAGGACAGAGGACGCTGGTGGCACCTCACCTCACCCGGGACAGGTCCCAATCTTGCTCGGGACATTCATACAGCCTCAGGGAATGAGATTTGAAGGGTCTCAGTTAACTCATATGGACAGAAAAGAATAGTGGGCCCAGACTGGATGCCCAGTGGATCCACTTATACAAGCAAGTACCTTTCTGGGAGGGAGGACGATGTGACAGCTTCCTAAGAAAGAAAAGGAAAGGAAGACAGATGTCCAGAGGTGTTGAGAGGAAAGAATAGAGGCTTGCTAGCAGGTTAGGTTGCCTTCAGAGGAATAGGTGTTTGATTCAGGTAATCATTCCTACTTTTGACTGTTTTGAGTGGTTTAAAGAGAGAAATTTAAATAGCACAAAATTATAAACACCAACTTTCATTCTTTAAAGTGTGGCCATAAATGTATGTATCCTGGTCTTGAAAAGCATTGATTTACACCCAGCCGTTTCCCTGTTGAGATTTCAGATTCATCCAGCAAAGTATTTTCTCAGTTTCCTCCTTCTTACATCGAGATAACCTTTTGGTTTATTGGCGTTATCTTAATTCTTGTGTTAAAATGAAACTCTTCCTGGTTGCGATGTTCCTGGGTCAAATGACCATTAGATTTGCCAGGAGCTGAGAAATCAGTAGCACCTTTGTTTGAACTCTTTTAACAAACACTGCTGAATGAATTTTGCTATTTCATTATTTTAGATGGTTGCTGACCTAGCAGAAAGCTGTGAATTATCATTACTTGATAATTCATATTTGTTCATTGCACGCTGTCTTAGGCTGGGTTTAGGGCTCTTGAGGACCTTTATGTCTTTGCTTTCTTCTGTTCTCATGGTTTTTATTGGCACCAACATGACTCAGATTTCCTTTCCCCTGCCTACATTTGGCGGTTTGGTTCTTTAACTCTCAGCGTTCTCTAAGGTATTTACCTACATTTCTGCTGCATCCTCAAGATCAGTCCATCGGGCAACTCCTGTCATTTAACAAAACCATTCTTTGTGATCTGGCTGTGTCTCTAGTATTTTAGGTACATGAGTTTAGTATTGATTCTTGGCTGCCCAACCTCCAGCTTTCTCAGGTACCCTCTGTCTCCACTGGGAAAATGATATGCATCTTTCATGGTCTACTTCATGTTCAGTGGAAGAGTCTTTGCTGACTTGTCAGCTTGACATGGCAGCTGGTAAGCTGATCCCTAGTTGCTCATCCTTTGCTCATTGACACCACATGAGTGACTATGCTGACCGAAGGTCAGTTGTGATGTGTTCAGACCTGTTGATGCCAGTTACTGGTATTATAATTATGTAACTTAATTAATAATATACTGATGAACCATGAGTGAGAAAAGAGAACTGTTCTGTGAATACTTTGGAAAGGCAAGTTTACTGAAAAAAAAGAAAATGAAATTGAATCAGGTTTGGGCAAGATACTATAGAAGACTAGAGGTGGAGGGAGCCTAAACTTCTAGAATGATTCTGTGCTTCCTGCTTCACAGGAGTCGAGATCTCCCTGTACCTTAGAGAAGCTGGAGATCGCAGAGGATGCTTTATGGGAGAATTTTATGCAAGAAAAGTTGACATAGAACTCCAGTCAGCAGGAAAGAGCTCTTTGGTCTTAAGTCAGAAGTTTGGTGGCTCTCGAAGTATTGCTTGTGGCAGATGATTGATGGGCTTGGACGTTGGCACAAAAGTCACAATGTAAGTCCTAATAACTGTGTCTTTATTCCGTGAGTTGTTGGTTTTAGATGCTATCCGTCGGCTCTCAGTTATGGCGGATGAGGAACTCGGTGTTCTTATTCTACCTCCCACCTTCTTCCTCCCTTTTGCTCCTTGTTGCCAGCTGCAGCTTTTCTACCTTGTCAAAGCATACAGCACTGACTTTCTGTTGTCCCTTTAATCCCATTTTAGTCTTAGTCCTACCATCAAGTAGACTCTGTGCTCACCACCAGTCTTTCTGCCATAGTTTTTCCAGTCACTCCTTCGTTGGCAGAAGTGTTTCCTTTTGTAGTTGCCTCAAGAAAGACTCATGGGAACAACATTTCCCGGTACTCTTGATTGACAGTTAACCGGGTATAAAATTCTTGGGTCACGCTCTCTCTCCTTGGGAATTTTGTGCGTGTTGCTCCTTTTTCTGCTAGCAATGAATTTGACTGTGGAAATTTTCGAGATTTCGTCCCTCTCTTGAGTGACTTGATCTTTTTGCCTGGTTGTGGAAATCCCGACATCTGCCTTCACATTTGTCTCGGCACTGACTCATCTGGGTGGGTGTTCCGTGAGCCGCAGAGTGCCCTTTCATAGCTAAATCCTGTTTTGTTTCAAGAAACATCTTGAGTTACATCTTTATGTAATCTTTATGGACTAATCTTTACATATTTGCTCCATTCCATGTTCGTTTTCTTTTATGCGTATGTTCCGTCTCCTTTGCTGTCTTCTGTACTCTCATTTTCTCTCTGTTCCTTTTAACTCTTTTTCATTTCATTTTACTTGCTTTTTCCGTTTCTCTCCTTTTTGTTCCTTACTGTGTTTTCAGCAGCGCCTCTTCTGCTTTTCGCTCCTTCCAGTTTCCTCTTCATTTCTCTCTCTTTTTTCCTGAGCTGTGCTGGTATGTGTCTTCCCTGCTTCTCTCGTAAGCTCTTGCACTTTTGCTTTGGCCTCTTGCTTCATAGTTTTCTTTCTTTGATTTTGCAAAATATTTAATTTTATTTCACCTGCTCCCTGGCAGCGTTCTTCCAGTGTGTAGTCTTAGCCTACCGTTTGGTGTTCCTGTTTCTTTCCTAATTTTTCCTTCTTGTGTCTTTATGTGGATCCTCAGCCGATTTCGTGTTTATAACTCAACTTTAAATAGGTAGGGTTTTTCAGGCACCAGCTGTTTGCAGGATGCTTGTTTAGGGGAGGGCCCGAGTCTGTGTTCCAGGCTGGCTGCAGTTCTCATGATTTGGGGTCCTACCCCAGGGCTGTGTGAGTGCATTTCCCCGTTATTTCTATCCAGCCATGAAGGGTAAGCATCTGTGAGCTTTTCCACAATGCAGAGGCGGCCACAGAGACCGACTGTGAGGCGCATACCCCTTGTTTGTGTGCTTTCTCATTTAGCCCCAGCTCCAGGTCCAAGGCAGTTCCTGCCTTCCCGAAACAAGCAGTCCCTTTGGTCCCAGAGGGTGTGTCCTTCACCCCCAGGAAGCATGTTCTTACAGGTCTGTCTGAGCTCTCCCGCCCCTGTGTGCTCTTTCCATAGCGTCCTTCTTTCCCTTCTCTAACAGGAAGAGCCCTTGCTTGGGCTCCCTGCTCTTGGCAGCTTTTCCACCTGTTTTGGGGCCTGGGATTCTGGTTATCTTCTAGTTTTGTTGAAAATGGAGTTTGTGCTTTTATTTATTTCTCCTTTTTGCGCTTAGAGTACATTTAAATAGCATTTTAAAATTCTGACTTCCTGATGCAGTGTTCAAATCACAAGTCTTCACTGATGTTTTCTTTTAACCAACCGCTGGTCCCCGTGATGTCGTGTGTTAAGCCTTGCCTACACCTTCTCCATACAGCCTCCACCACCTCACTGTCATCCGGCTCCGAGCACCTGAAGCCCAAGGCGTGTGTTCCGCAGACGTACGCAACGCCTTTCATTCATTGAGCATGCCCCCTCTGCACTGGGCGTTGTTCCAGGCCTTGGGGAGAAAGCGTGGGGGGATTCATACAAGATCTTCACACACAAAGGCGAGTCTGACACATGACTCCACAGGCCCGGGGGTGAGCGATGAACGGAGGGGAAGACAGTTTGGGATTTTGAGGTGGTTTGGTGGAAGGGGTGGAACGTGAGCTCTGGAGTCTGACCTCCAGCTTCAGTGCTCAGCTCTGCTGCTCATATACGTGACACTGGGATAGTCTGGTGACTTTGCCAAGTGTCGGTTTCTTTATATATAAGGTGGAGATAGCATTACCTGCCTCAGATGGATGCTGTAAAATTAAAATAAGTTACGTCTCACGTGCTGAGCACATAGTGGATGCTCAGCAAGTGCGACTTCCCCCAGGAAGAAGGGCTTTGTTAAACAGAGGGAACGAATACTGACAGTACTGGTGTAGAGACCTATGTTTTTAATTGTCGTAAAATTTACGTAACTTAAAGTTTGCCGTCTTCATTTTTAAGTTCACGACTCAGTAGTGTCTAATGTGAGCATTCACACTTTTTGGGCAACCTGTTCCCAGAACTCTTTTCATCTTGCAAAACTGAAACTCTATCCCCATTAAACAACCACTCCCGATTCCCCCTCCCCTCAGTCCTCGGCAACCGCCATTCTCCTTCTGCCTCTATGGTTTTGACCATAGGTGCCTCATAGAAGTGAAATCGTACCATATTTGTCCTTTGTGTCTGGCTCTTTCACTCAGCATAGTGTCCTCAAGGTTCATCCATAACTGGACCCACTTAGTGCCAGTCGGTGTTGATGGTGATGGTATTAGTAGTGAAGGACATCGGTGTTTCTTTAGAACCCACTGTGTGCCAAGCAGCAGGCTAGGTGCTCGACACAGGTCATCTCATTCCGTCCTCACCTCAGTCCTGATGGAAGCTGAAGCCCTGGACGGATCGTTTGCCTGAGGTCAGCCACCTGAGAGAGAGCTGAGCTGACATTTACACGAGGTCTGTCTGCCTCCGGAGGCTGTGCTCTCAGCCACCACCTCCCCTCCTGACTATATAACCAGGCGTCTCCAGTACTTCTCGGTGGGATTCATGTCATGATGCACGGGGACATGGGGGAGACCCCTGTGGTCTCACTTGAGCAGTTCACGTCCAGGGGGCTCAGGTGTGTGTTGTGAAGCAGGAGCTGTGCCCAGTCTGGCCACTCTGCCGCCACAGGACAGCCCACGAGGTTTCCTTTGGGGCCACCCCCTGCCTACCACCCAGTGCTCTAACCTCCTTGTTTTTGCGTCCTGTTTAGGTACACTACATCCTCCAGGAGGTGGTGATGGGTGGGATGGTGTTGGAAACCAACATGAATGAAATCGTGGCTCAGATGGAAGCTCAGAACAGGCTGGAGAAATCCGAGGTGAGTGCGCAGCTGCGCTGTTGCCCTGGCAGTTAGAGAAGACCTGGGGGAGGAGCAGTGGATCCGCATGTTGGTTTGTGTCGCTGTGGGGCCATAGGAGCGTTTCCTACTCATCTTCTGTCTTCCTTGAGTCCATCAAACCTCATCTATTGGAAAGCCCGTCCTGAGAATTAAACGGGGAAGAAGGAGGCTAAAGGTGTGAAAGGAAAGCCAGACGGCACGGAAGGCAAACAGCTTCTGGCTTGGGGGTCATTGCCCATGTTTGTGGTTGTAATTCCTCCTCGCACAGCCACACGTTCCCTGGAGGGACCCAGAATCCTCCTCTCCGATTCCCGTGTGGTTGCCTTGTTTGTGTGCTGTGTGAGTCTGGTCTCCCAGCAGCCGTTTCTCGTGGTGTCTTTTAGACTCAGAGTTAGCAATTTCCTTATTTCCAGTTGGGCTTATAAAAAGCTACAGTAGAGTTTGGGCTGAGTTTGAAGATAACGTGCCCCGATCCACCCCAACCTGGTGCGGGGCTTGGTCCAGATGCTCACAGTAGGTTCTGTCCTGTCCCCCTTGAGGCTCTCCATTGCCTTGTCCGCCTGCTCGGGGAGCAGAGGTTACAGGATACTCCTTCACATGTGGCAGAAACAGGCGAGCAGATTACCTCTTTAATTACCTGGGTGTCTTAAAGAGCTGCCTTGCTTTGTGTAAAGGAACTTGATCTTGCAAAACCAGGAATTCTTGCTGTGAGGGCTGGCAGGCCTGCTGAAGAAGCTTGTCCAGACCACAGCTATTGTGGCAACTGTCGTTCCTTTAGAAATGCAGGCTGGGATGCTTCCAGGAATAGTGAATGAGTCAGAGGCAGGGGGTTTGGAAACCAGAAGGAGTGGGCGTTTGCTGGGTGAGGGGTAATTGGAGTGGTATCCCGAAAGCAGTCAGTGCAGAGGAAATGGTTTTGAGAGCGTCCTGGTCAGCTTCTCCCCTTCTCTGCATACGGCTGGGCCTGGAGGGTGAGGGCTGACCAGAGTCCCGGTGGCTCTCTGGGCTTGTCTCCCGTCCTTCCGTGTCTCTGGGCTCCTCCACCTCCATGTCTTTCTTCCCATCTTGTGCCACGTGACATTTCCAAAGCCAGCTCTTTCCAGGCACATTATTAGTTGGCAAGCACTTGCCCTGAGCTGTGACATTCCTTTTCCTCTTAAGAATTTCCCTGTGACTGCGCTTGTCTGTGAGTCTTCAGTCTCTTGAGAAAGGGTTTCATTTTATTTTGTTTTGTAACCTGAAAAGTGCCCCAATAGTGGACAGGACTTGGTTAAACCATCTCAGATTATTTCAGCACCTACTGTGTGCCGGGCACTGTTAGGTGCTGGGGCGATAAAACTGCATGAGCTGCAACCCCGCCTTTCGGAGCACAGAGTTTGGGTCTTACACCGTGGTCCCCATCTAACCTAAGATCGTTTTGCTGGCTGCCCTTGAGGAATAGGGAGGAAAAATCAGCACTCATGTTGTGTGTGCTTCAGATTGGACGGTATTCTCGGCCCCTTCACTTAGTTTTTTTAAGCCCTTAAACGGATGACACAGGGTTGTCTCATGCCCCACCTCTCATTTCTCCTCAGGGAGGCCTCTCGGCAGCCCCCGCCCGGGCCGTGTCTGCTGTGAAGAACATCAACCTGCCAGAGATCCCTCGGAACATCAACATCGGCGATCTCAACATCAAAGTCCCCAACCTGTCCCAGTTCGTCTGAGGGTCAAAGACTGGACTGAACTGGAGTCCTTGAAACCAGCAAAGCCAAGCCTGTCCTGCCATGGCACCCACTCCCAGCCTCAGAAGTCAGGCCTTGGGCCCAGACCCTTGCTGTCACGGCATGGGGACCGGAGTCCTGTGTCCACTGCCAGCCGGTGTTCGGTTCTCACATGTGCAGCTTTGCCGGTCTCTGATGCACGTGGCCGTTGCCGATGTGTGGGGTCCTTGGCTTCCTCAATGGGGGGTCTGCGTGCCCAAGCCACTCACACCCTTTACCTCCCGCCTGCAGCCACTCCCAGGGGCTGGGGACTATTGAGAGCCCATCTGCTTCCCAGAGCCCCCTCACGAGGGCATTCTCTGACTGGAGGCTTCATCCTAAGCACCACGAGGCTTCTGAGCTCCTGTAGCATTTACTTTTGCTGGTGAGGTGCCATAGCTCAAAAAGGGCTGATGCTTCAGATTTGGGGGTGTGCTGAGTGGCACACCAGGCGGGATTTTAGGAGAACCAGAGTTGCCCCCTGGCTCTAGTAGGGTTATCATACCCAGAATCCTTCTGTGTTAGCCAAGCTTTCTGATCACCGCCTCCTGCAGAATACACGTGCCCGCTGCCCTAGTCCTACGTCTGCTCTCACAGGCGTTCTGTGCAGGACACTCCAACTTGTAACCCTGGGGCATGCGCACCACCTTTCTGCTAACGGGGAGAGAGCCCCTGCACGGCCACCTCTCCAGCACACCCCAGCCCTCCCAGGGAAGAGGCCCTGTGTCTGTAGAACACGTGGACCGTCTCCGAATTCCGACTCTCCAGGTTTGAAATACATTCTCCTCACGAGGAGCAGACAGGTCTGTGGCCACGTTCTGAATGATGAGTCTTGTCAGTCCGGGGAACCCACTGCCCCTGGAGCTGCTTCTGGAGCAGGACAGCCTGGGCCGGGCCACCTGTTCCAGACCTGGCTCAGGGGAAGGCTGGGGACCCGGGAAGCGTGCTGGTGAGACTGGTCACGGTGCAGCATCTTTTCCCTGCTTTGAGGGGGTCCCTCCCTGAGCTCTGCTCATGGGCATGGCCTGTTCCCCTGAGGGGACCTTCTCCCAGAGCTGGCTTTGGAAGCCTGTGAATGTTTTCGTGTGATAAGAGTCTTTCTTCCGGTGGTGAAGTTAGAGCTGAAACTGCTCCTGGAGTCAGACCTCCTGCTCCTGCGCTGCCTCGGAGGCCAGGTCTCAGCTCTGCTGTGGAGCTGCCTTGAGGTTAGGGAGCTCACTGCTCCTTCATAGTCAAGTCTCCCAGGCTGGGGACTTCTCATACCTGCTGGCCGGGGACCCAGACTGTTTCCTCAGGCCTCCTCATGCTGTCGCAGAGCCCATTGGAGATGGTGCCCAACAGGACCGTGTGTCAGGACCACGTATTTTCCCACTTGGAACAGTGCTTCCTGTGCTTGGTGCCCATCGCTCCCTGCAGCCTCTTGTCCTCACTCTTTCAGGTGCCCTCTGATAACCTCAGAGATGGGCAGTGTTGGTCAGCAGGTGGGCCCTCTTATGTTGAAAGAGGGAAATGTGGGCGAATATATCTGATGTAAAAACTTCTGATAGCATTCTGTTGAGGGTTTAACTTATTTTGTTTTGGTGAGGATGATTAGCCCTGAGCTAACATCTGTTGCCAATCTTCCTCTTTTTGCTTGAGGAAGATTAGTTCAGAACGAACATCCATGCCAGACTTTCTCTATTTTGTTTGTGGGTCACTGCCACAGCATGGCTTGAGGAGCAGTGTGTAGGTCTGCGCCCGGGATCTGAACACACGAACCCCAGGCCACCAAAGTGGAGCATGCCAAACCAAGCACTGTGCCACCAGTCCGGCCCCTAATTTTTTTTTCCCCCACAAACATTTCAGTATGTTCACATCCTTCTCTCTCAGATTTGCTGAATGTGAAACAGGAACGAAGGAAGGAAGCTAATGTTTATTTTGCCCCTACTGAGAGGTGGCATGACCACAGTCCTTCCACAGCCCTTACAGCAGACATTCTCATCTGCATTTTGCAGGCGAAGGAAGTAAAACTCCGAGGTCAAGTAACCTGCTTTAGGTCACCCAGGGCTGAGAGTTAAGACTGCCTGTCTGCCTGTCTCCAAAGTCTGTATTTTTCCCTGCTCAAGATGGCTTCTCCCAATTTTATGTTCTTTCTTACAGATAAGGAAACTGAGTCTCAAAGAGGTGAAGTAGCTCCTCACAAGCTCTAGTGGAAACAGGCTCGGTTTCTAAGGTGGTGGGTGACACCACCACAGAGTGTGAGCAGGAGGTGCTCTGCTCGTCCCCAGGGTGCTGTGAGGAGGTGGCCGCCCAGAGTGTCTAGTGCTGTGTTGAGGGTTACAAAGCTAGAACCACGCCGTTTTTCTTGAGTTATTTGTTTTGTGATTTAATGCAGGACTTCTGCATGTCCTGGCTTTCCTGGGATGGTCTTCACATGTTTTGCCTGCCAGAAAGTAATGGTTCCCAAAAACCATTGACTGGTCCTGGAGACTTCAACAGTGGGATCCCAAGGACATCCCTCACACAGCCCCTGGAAACAGCCTACAACCTCAGTCTGCTTTGTTATTCAGAAAACTCAATCCCTTGGACAAGCCACAATACTTGTTCATTAACTGCTTGAGGTTGCCTCAAATCCAACTAGCTTTCTTGCTTGCAATTAGCAAAGCCATAAGATTTTTTGTGTTTTTTTTTTTTAAGTAAGAGTAAATCCTCATTGGCCTTTCTTTGGACGAGGATACAGATATTGCTGCCGAGACATGTCAGTTATAAAAATTGGGGCCGGGCTTGAATTTGGGCCTCCTTGGCCCAAATAGTTACACTGAGGATTTCCTGAAGTTGTACAGAATCCTGGGTTTTCAGTGCTCCCTGCCACTAAGTAAAATCTAAAGTTCTTCCATTGTGCCGTTTCTAGGTGCCTGGTGACTGCCGGGCTCAGTTCTAGGCGCTGAAGATTGAGAGAGAGAAACGAGGCTCTGCTTCCTGCTGTTGTCTGTGCTGAGATCTCTCAATGCTCAGACGGGGTCTGACTGGGAGCCTGAACTTGTGGAGACTGGAGTCAGTGCCTTTGTGTTACATGGGATGCTTACGGGACAATACCCCACTTCCCACCCTCAGCTGACGCCATCATGCCTGCTGGGCCGTGCTCCAAACAGCCTGCCTCAGTTCAACCTGCCGCCCTAAGAATACCATGGACTGGGTGGCTTAAGCAGCCAGCATTTCTCACAGTCCTGCAGGCTGATCCAGATGTAGTGAGCACCTGCTTCCTGTACCACAGAGGGCCATCTTCTTGCTGTGTCCTCAGAGCAGAGAGAAAGCTCTGGGCTCTTCCTGGCCTTCTCAGGCAGTGCAGGCTCCACCCCCATGGACTCATCCAACCTAATCGTCTCCCAAAGGCCCACCTCCAAATAAGGTCACACTGGGTATTAGAGTCAACATAGAGATCTGGGGGGACACATTCAGTCCATACGGCACCCACTTACCACCTGCCTTCCAGGCCTGTTCACGGCCCTGTGCTTGTCACGTTGAGGAGCAGGTCAGGATATCTCGAGTCTTCTGAAGTGCCTGTTATTCAGGCCTCTGCCACATACAGAGCCAGCCCTCCCTCCCCACCACCTCCACCTCCGTGGGGCCACCCTGGTGAAGTGCTCTCTGACCCCAGCTTCACCAGAAAAGAAACCGGGGGAGTCTGGAGAAAACCAGGCTGCTGGCTCAGTTCTGTCTTGTGGACCAGTCTTTAGTAGGGGGTCTCCTTAGTGTGGCCATCTGTCCGTGGCTTTCCAGATAGGATGCAGAGTGATGGATGCCTGAAGACAAAGATCAGGAGTGAGAGCGATGGCCAAGGTGGAGAGCCACTGAGGGGAGGAGAGACCCCAGGGCTGTGGGGCTCCTCGCAGACGCCCTGCTCTTCAGGCTCCCAAGTCGTGTCTCCCTCTCGCTCCCACCGCGAGGTGCCTCTCCCTTTGTGGCCCTTGTTAGCCTGGTCTCCTCGTCCACTTGGACACCTGCGTGTCGTCAGTGCTCACAGGTTGCTGAATGGCTGTCCTCGAGGTTGAGGCTTTGCCCTCTCAAGCACTGGGGGTTCTGCATCTGCTGCGTTCTGGCCACAGCTGGCAGATATGCAGATAGGTCCCCTTTAGGGAAATAGTTCCATGAAAATGATTAATCATTTCCAAAAGACTTTAAATTCTTTCCTATTTCAATGAATTAATGTTTTAAAAAGGGAACACTTTCATGTAGTTCAAACTTGAAGATAACAAAAGGCTGTTCAGCCGGACTCCCACCCTGTTCCTGGAAACCACGGAGCTCCCCATGCCTGGTAGCAACAAGTGTTTCCATTTTAAAGGATTAAGAAACAGTCCCTGGATTTTTATTACTAAAACTGAAAGAGTGTATCTTCTTGGATGAGTTATGTTCCATTTGACCTTGGTGATTGACCTCAGCCCAGTGCACCCATGCCGTTCTCTGTAGGGAGGAGGGGCCTCCGAGGCAACCTTGTATAAAATAGCACCCCTACTTCAGCACGACCTGTCCTTGCACTGCCTGTCCTTTTTGTGACGTACTGTGTGTTTGGGTTGTGGTTGCTGTTCCCTACTAAGATGCACGCCCCTCAAGGGCAGGGGTCTGTCCCTCTTGTTCACTGCTGTATCCCAGCTGCTATGAACAGTGTCTGGTTTGTACCGCTCAATAAAGAAGTGCTGAAGGAGTGCAAGGTTAAGACAGACAGGGATTCTTTTTTTTTTTTTTTCTTGAGGAAGATCAGCCCTGAGCTAACGTCTCCCGCCAATCCTCCTCTTCTTGCTGAGAAGGCCGGCCCTGAGCCAACATCCGCGCCCATCCTCCTCCACTTGATATGTGGGATGCCTGCCACAGCGTGGCTTGACAAGCGGTGCCATGTCCACACCTGAGATCCAAACCAGTGAACCCCAGGCTGCCAAAGTGGAACATGCGCACTTAACCACTGCACCCTTGGGCCAGCCCCAGGAATTCATTCTTGCAGTCACTCAGCTTGTGCTCTCCAGGGCTCTGTGCTCAGCACTTTGGGAAGGAGAACCAGGGTAATGGCGTTGGGAGCAGCAGGTGGGGAGGGACCAGGTGATGCCTGTGGCGGATGAGGGAGAGGAGAAAGGCAGAGCTGATGACTGGAGGACCAGTTGAGAAAGGAGGAGGTGGTCTGGGAGGGAGAAAAGTCCTGAGTTTGGATGTGGACATATTTGGGGGGAGTTCTTGGAGAGTATCTGGGGCAGGTGTCCACCAACCAGCTGGGAACCTGGGAGTGGGCAGAGAGGAAATGAGGGCCCTTCCCAGGGAGATGGTGGTTGGAGCCATGGGGACAAGCACAGTGGCCAAGAGATGACAGGAGAGGGTTGAGGGCGCAGCCTGTGGGCAGGGGAAGGGAGAGGGGACTGGAGGGACTGCAAGTCAAGGACTTTCAACAAGATGGGGCCCCTGCTGAGAGGCCAGGGACTGGCATGAGGAAGAGGTGGCCTCTCCTGGGTTTGCAATTGCTCCCCCGAGCCCCCCCGCAGTGAGGCAGCGAAATGAGGGAACTTTGAAGGGGGGATTCTAGCCTAGGGATGGAGCAGAGCCAAACCTCAGGGCGGTCGTGTAGGAGTGTGGGTCTCAATCCCGCTCTGACAGAGTGTCCTCATCCATAAAAGAGGCGCCCGTAACTCCTGCCTCAAGGGGCTGCGGTGAGGGTCAACTGGGAGAATTGGTGTAGAACACAAAGGGCTCCGGTGGTGGAGTCTCTGGAGGTGAAGCTTCCCTTACAGTGAGAAGGTGGAAGACAGCAGCAAACTTGTGATTGGTACAACCAGAAGCGCGGGAGACAGCCTGGAACTCCCTTCCCCCGGACCAGCAGGGAAGTCGAGAGGTCCCGCAGGCACAGTGAGGAATCACCGTGCAGTCAGGACCAGAACGGAACGGGGGCCTGTGGCCAAGCGGGACTGGCTGAGTGTTGGGGTTCTTTGGACTGCACAGTTCCCATGAGGAGTGGCATCGTTGGGCCTTCTTGAGAACAAACCTTATGTTCTTGTTCACCTCTGCCCTCAGCCTGGGTCCTGAGAGCACTTGGCAACAGGGCTGCCCTCCATGGCCTCCTGGGGGTGGGCCACGCCTTCAAGAGGGCAGGTTGAAGGTGGTTTTCACATTGCTGGCAATGAATGGCCTTTATAAACTCGGGAGATAAAGGCGCAGCTGGAATGATATAAAGGAAGTACAGGTACGTTTTTCAAGGACTGGGGTCCATTGGTCCCCCAGACAGGTGATATTCAAAATATTTACCAACCAGCATGGCTCAGGCCCTGAGCAATCAGTGGAGGAGCTAGATGCAACTAGATGTGGGGTGGGGGTGTTACTGGTGCTCCATGTTAGCTCTGCCACCAGGACCCCACACTCCTGCGGCAGCACAGGAGAGAGCCCAGGAGGCTGCCATAGCTGGGCTGCTGCACTTGGCGTCCTTTGCGAGCCTGGGAAGGCCAAAATAAGGCCCCACTGCTTACGTGTGTGGCCTGGGGAGTCAGCATGCCTCCTCCCACTGGGGCACTGCAGTGGAGGGACAAGGGGCCTTCTTGTACCGATGTCTGGACCCTCCCAAGCTGGCAGCGAAACTGGGGAAGCCAAGAGACAGCCACAGGCTCAGGGCACTGCCTAGTGCAGAAGACGACGGCCTTTGCCCTGGGCAGCCTGGGAGTGACACTCTCCTCCAGCCTCTCGCTTCTGATCACTCGGCCCTGGACGCCCTTCCCTTGAGCTGCCTCCGAGTGGCTCCCCAGGTGGCTGAAGCCCACATGAATCAAAAGTGGCAACATGTTCAGCTGGGGAAGTCACCCTTTCTTGCTAGGGAAGTGCTTTTCTAACTGAGGCGGGCTAGGGTCTCAACTGCCAACTGATAAGCCAGCTTTTCTGGGACCTCCTTTGTGTGGCTGGGAGATCTGGCTGGACCTGCCCCCTCAGCACCGGTCCCCGAGGAGGCAGCTCCCACTCAGAGGCTGGACTGGGCACTTTGGGGCATTTTCTACTCAAATTCCCCATCCTGAGTTTCCCGGCCTCTACCTGCCTCTTCTCCACCTGCTGGGCCTTAGGAAGTGCCAACCAACCCATGAGCTGTGTAAAGTGCACGATGACGTTACAGGATTGGACGGAAATCCCTGGGTCCAAACTGCCAAACAGGCGAGTGAAACAGTGATGCTGCCTGGCATGGCGCTGTGCCTGGCACAGGGCGACAGCCTGAAGTGGGACCTCCTGTCAGGCCCCTGCCTGATTCTCAGGGCTCAGGGTTACAACCCTTTCCTGTCAGGTCACCCCACTGCTGGCCCCACCCCAGCCGTGTGAGCTGCTCTGGGCTCCTGTGGCCCCACAAAGACCCCAGAGTCCAGGCTGGGCCCGCCCCCCACAGCCTCCGTGTGACCTCTAGCTCCCACGTGTCCTCACAGGTGGCCCCTTTGCTCTGAGCCTGCAGTCCCCAATTCTGTCCCTGACTGGGGCCTCAGGCGCCCCCAGCCCCTCTATTCTCAGCCCTTCATCACCCCAAGCTTAAGTCCTCTGCCTGGGAGCGCCCTGTCCACCAGCCCCGTGTCCTGCCTGGATACCACCACCGCCCTGAACTGTCTCTCCGCCTCCCCTTTGGCTGCCTTTTGGCCCGTTTCATCACTCAGCAGCCAGAGTGGAACATCTCAAGCATCCATCAGACCACAACACAGCCCTGCAGAGTTCAAAAGCTTCCCAGCAGCCGTGGAACAGAGCACAGGGCCCTGTGAGCTAGATGCTGCCTGCCTGTCTGTCCTCATCTCCTGCTGCCTGCCTCGCTCCTCCCTCCAGCCACACTGGCCTCGGGGCTATTTGACACGCCAGGCTCACAGCCACCATGGGGCCTTCGCCCTGGCTGTCCCCTTGGCCTGTCTTGAGGTCTTCCTCGCGCCCTTGCTTCACGCGAGTCCCTGCTCAAATGTCACCTTTGGAGGACTTCCCTGTCCTGCCTGCCTCTCCAGTCACTCTCGGCTCCTCTCTGTGCTCTATTCTCCGTGGCACTGATCACCTGACACAATACCGTCTGTAATGTCACCTCTGTTTTCACGATCTTTTGCTGCTGTCTTGCTGGTGCCTGGCACAGTGCCTGGCCCACTTTAGCTATCATTTAGTAAACTACTTATTTGTAAATACTTAATATTTATATTAAATATTTAGTAAATAATAAATAGCCATTTAGTAAATACATAATTGTTCAACGAATGAATGAATGAATACACACTCCTGTTTCCCTCCCAACGGGCATGAAGTTCCATGCTCACTCCATGCTCGAGGGCAGTAAGCATTGTGGGGTGGGAGTCATGGGGCCAGGCTTCTTGATTCACTGTGTGACCCTGAGTGAGTCATATAGCGGCTGATTTCTAGTTGTAGGAATAGTGAATGAGAAAGTATTTAACTATATAGACATAAAACTCTGAATGAGGTATAAACTGGGTTTGAATCCTGGCTCCACCACCTGCCAGCTGTGTGACCTTGGGCAATGTACCTAACCTCTCTGTGCTTCTGTTTCCTCATCTTTGAAATGGGACTAAAACAGCTCCGTTGAATCAGTCAGGTTCTTGGTCTCAATCCAGAATCCTAATGGGCTACGAGGGTTCTCTCACAGGCTCAAAAGGAAGGTGGAGAGCCCAAAACCAAGCTGAGCAGGCCACAGGAAAAAAAATCCTCTGGAACGTGCTCCTGGCACAGCCAGCTCTGGACCTTGGGGCCACAGACCCTGCCGGCCTTCCCTGAGGAGACAGACTCCCAGGTGGGTGCCTCTGACGGCTGAGGCTCAGGTCCCAGCCAGGCCAGGAAGCAGACGGAGGCTGGCCCCAGGTCCCATGGAGGGGAGCCCATCCCAGCGCAGGCCGGGGCTGCGTGAGGGTTAAGGCTTCATGCAGAACTCTCGTGCCCCGCTGGTGGCAACCCTGGGAAGGTGTCTGGTGGAATCCACTGGAGTTAGCATATGCTCTCCTACCACCCAGTGGTGCCAAATGGGTGCGTGTGTCCACCAGAAGGTGTGGGCGACAATGTCGATGGCAGCGCTATGCAGAATGGCCCCAACCGGAAAACACAAAGTGCCCGTCCACAGTGGATGCTCGAGAAAAGAAGCACCTGGAACTCTATACAGCCGTGAGAAAGCAAACCACAGCCCCGGAGCCACCGCGGATAACTGACCAACACGCCACAGGGAAGAAGCCAGCGCGACGCCAGGTCAGCCGTGTGAGGTTGCACCCCGCTCAAAGCCGGGTACAAGGAGCGGGCACTGTCAGAAGCCAGGAGGGGGTCCCTCGAAGGATGAAGACAGAGCGTCGGGGGCTGTGAACGGTCACTCTCCTGATCTGGGCACCGGCGGGCCCTCGTGTCCACTTTGTGAAGCGTCCTTGAGTTCTTCACTTACGAGTCCGTATTTTCCTCTAGGCTGGTTACGCTTCAATAAAAGTAACAAAAGGGTTTAAGAAAAAAACTAATCCATGGGAAGCGTTTGGGGTTGTGCCCAGCCCGTGGTGGGAGCTAAATCAATGTTAGGTCCTTGTTGCCACCCGTGTCCTGTCGCTGGTGGGTCTCTCTCACCCTCCACTCCCCCTCCCCATCCCCGAGGCTGGAAGAGACCCCAGCGTTGGCGGCCCTCAGATCTGTGTGCAGACAGAGCAGGTGCCGCCAGCCCAGGGCTCCCGGCCCTTGTGGAGCTGGGGACAGACTCCTGGGTCAGCACTTCAGCTCATTCATCAGGGAATCGGCCAGTTACCTTAGGGCCAGGAGGGGAGCAAGTCCTCAGATGAAGGGCTGGCGAGCAGCTGAGAGCAGGCGTGGACACAGGGCAGGTTATGGAAGCCAGGCCCCGTGAGCCGGGCATGGGCCGGAGTCCGTCCTGAGGATGGCAGGAAGCCAGTGTGCGTCTGGGGCGGGGGTGGGGGGGGGCGTGGGGGGCACAAGGGAGGGTGGTCACGTGTCCAGTTGTGCCCCCTGGCTTTGGTGTGGAGAATGAGTGAAAAGGGAGAAAAACAAATTCCAGGAGCCCGATTAGGAGCTTTGGTGGCCGAGAGCAGGTCAGGGTGGGACGTGGAGATGGGGAGAAGTGGAGGACTGGTGGGACATTCTGGGGTTAGAAGGGCCAGGGCCTGGGGGTTGGCGTCCAGAGGGGACGGAGGCGTGGGAAGGGTGAGGCAGGCCCCGCCCAGGGTGGGGCAGCCTGTGGACACAGGGCCCTGCTCCGTGGGTCCAGGAGGAGCAGGATGGGGGCGGGCTGAGAGTCAGGTTTGGGAGCAGAGTAGGAAGATCCGAGAGCCGTGGGCAAAGCCTGTGGAGGTTGGTCAGGGAGGGAAGGGGAGCCGTGTGCAGAGAGCTGTGTGCAGGGAGGCCGCCAGGTTGGGGAGGGTGGGCCCTGCCCGGAGGGTTTCTGCAGCTCAGTGGAAGGTCGGGCAGGGGTGACAAGGGGTGGTACACAGAGTGGGCTGGGGCCAAGGATGACAGATGCGGGGCCTGGAGGGCTGAGCTAGTCCGTAAATTTCCAAAACAGTGACCTGGGCAATGGTAAATGGGGGTCCCTGGCCTCTGGGGAGGAGGGACCGCAGTCCAGGGTGCTGTGCCTGAGACCACAGGGTGGGTCCTGTGTGGAGCCCTTGTGCGGTCTCCAACGCATCGAAGGGGCTGAGCAGCAATGACAATAACAACAGTGACAGCAGCTGTGCTAGACTCTACGACTGCTCGGCTGTCTGTTGGCTCTCGGGGGGGCCTGGCGCTCCCCTCACCTTTGACGTCAGGCTTGGCTGCCTGCTTGCTTTGCTCAATGCCCTGAGCATGAGCGAGTTGCCCCACTTCTAAGAAGAAACTTCTAGAGTCACGGGAAGGTGCTGCTGTGTTTACTTCTCTCTGCTGGGAGACCAGCCGTGTCCCAGATGAGGGCGGTTCCTTTAACCTGGGTCACGGGGTGGAGCTGACTTGGTGCAGAGCTGCATCCAACCCATGGCAGACACGTCGTGTGAACAAGAAAGAAACCTTGTTGTAGGCCGCTAGGATTCGGGAGCTGTTTGTCACTGCAGCATAACACAGCCTCAGCTGACCGCTACAGCGACGCCCGGACTTGCGTGTTACCTCTGCCCCAGGCACCGTGAGGTTAATCCTAAAACAACTCTGCCAGCAAAAGCAGCAAAGGGGCACACCGTGTTATTCCACGTATATAAAATTCTAGACAACGTAAACTAGTCTATAGTGACAGGAAGCAGATCAGTGGCTGCCTAGGGACCGGGTAGGGAAGAGGGGGCCAGAGGGAGGGACTGAAAGGGGCACAAGGACTCTTTTGGGGTGATGGATCTAATTGTGGAGACGGTTTGTCACAGCCAGGACACAGAGCCTGACACTTAACAGCCACTGACCACACCCCAAAATTATCCCCAAAATTACCAGTGATGGACATGGGGTCTGGCCTAACCCTTTCCTGAAACCTCCGGCCGGGTGCAGACCCAGGCCCCCCAGAAGCCTGGAATGGGCTTCGGTGACCACCAGGCCCATGGCCCCACTTCTCCCGTGGACAGCCAGTCTCGGGGGCCACGTCCTGTGCAGATCTGAGTGCCAGGGAGAGGACAGACCTGTCTCCTGTGACCTCAGCCAAGGCAGGTGGGCCTCTTCTCAAAAGAGCCTGGGGCCATGCTGGGCTGGTGGAGGCCTCAGCCTCCAGAGGGCTCCAAGGAGGCCAGTTCCAGGAATGCTGCAGCCTGAGGGTCCCCTAGGTCCCTGAGCTGGAAGGCGCCAGCCTGTCTGGTGTCTGGGGTTTCACAGAAGGGAATTCTAGAAATGGTCTCAGGCTGTCGGAGCTAGAGGAGGAAGCTCCGGGAGGCGAGAGGAGATGAAACAGGTCTCCAGGGCCCAGGAGGGTGAGGCCCCCAAGGCGGGTGGAAGGACGTCTTGATTTTCTCTCTGATGCTGGAGGTGGGGGAGGCTGTGATGCGGGTGTGGGGTGAGAGGTGGCCTGCTCTAGGTGAGCCAGGTGGGGAGGGGACGGAGGCTGGCCCGGGAGAGGCCTAGGGGCTGAGGAAGACTGCAGGGCCCTGCTGGGTGAGGTGGTTGAGTGGTGGCCCTGGAGAAGATATGTCCCCGTCCTAACCCCCAGAGCCAGCGAATGGGGGCTCATTTGGGAAGAGGGTGTTTGTGTCATCAAGTTAAGGATCTGGGACGAGATCATCTTGGAGTGCTCGGGCGAGCCCCAACGCCTGGTACAAGCGTCTTTGTAAGAGATGCACAGCGGAGAAGCCCACATCACCACGGAGGCAGAGGTGGGAGTGCTGCAGCCACAGGCCACGACGCCTGGCACCCCCAGGAGCTGGCAGAGGCACGGAACGACCTGCCCCGCAGGCTCCGCCGGGAGCGTGGCCCTGACAACCCTGGGTTTCAGACTTCTGGCCCCAGACGGTAAGAGGATGACTTTCTGTGTCTAAGCTGTTGGTTTGTGGTAATTTGTCATGGAAGCTCTGGAAACGATCCAGTGGGTGAAGATGGGCGCATTACAGACCTCTCTCCCCTGCTTGGGGCTGCGCCTCCAGCCAGGAGGCTCACAGGCTGGCAGCCCAGGCATCGAGGGGGAGCCAGGGACCGGGGCTGCCGGGTGGAGGGGCTCAGGCTTGGCGGGCAGAGGTGGGCCTGCAGAGGTGATGGGAGGAAAGACGGGGGCAGAGGCCGGGAGCTCAGAGGAGGGTGGGAGAGCTGGTCCAGGAGGGGCACCCAGCGAAGGGCATTTCAGGTGGGGCACTTTCCAAAGATGGCAGGGCCTGAGAAGGGACCCGGGAGGGATGGCAGAGGAGCCAAGGGGGGCTGCCCCAGAGCCGAGGATTCCTGGGGAGTGGGGCTGATGCTCTAGGGAGGGCACGCCCAGAGGGGCCATGCCAACTGGTTGAGGACAGACCCTTCTCAGACGGCGTCCTGGAGTGTGTTGCTGGGGGCTTTCGTGGGCCGCCGTTGGTAACCCTGTGCACGTTTTCTCGTTTCATTCCCACAGCAGCTCTCTGAGGGATTGTCCCCGTTTGACAGTGAGGAGGTGAAGGCTTGGGGTCCGTCACCACCTGGGGTCAGTTGCCCAGCGTGTAAGTGTCAGACCCCGAGGGGAAGCCATGTGTCCGACTGCAAAGCTGGCCTCCTACTGAGCGCAGTGCGGGGGGCAGTCCATGCACGGGTGGGGGGCTGCTGAGGGAGCCGAGGATGGAGCCTGGCAAGGGGTGCAGGGTCACTCTGCCTTCCTGCCCAGCCTGGCCTGTCCCTCCTTCTCACCCTGCCTCGGGGCCCTCTGTCCCTCCTGCTGGGCTCCGGGTCCCTTCTGTCTCTTCCACGGCTGGGACCCCGCTGAGCCCAACGTCACATCAGCAGGCCCTTTCCCTCTTCCTGCCTGCCCAAGAGGGATCGCTCTAAAAGCTGCTCTTTGTCCTCCTTTTTTCGAAAAATGTGTTTTTAATTAATTTTATAATAAAACCCAAACTGAATTCTTGAAAACAACAGCCAGGAGAAATAATAAAAACATCTCAGCTCCAGGAAGCCCTGACCCAGCTCCGCCCACCGCAGCCCCAGCAGCAGCTCTAGCTGCCTCCTGCTCTCCCTCCCCGAGCCTGCCTCCGCCCCAGTTCCCAGCCCCCGGGCCTAAACATCCCGGAACAGCCCCCTCCTCCAAGCGCTCGGTCCCCGCCCTGCCCCCTCCCACCTGCCGCGCTGCCTCCCATCTGACTCCCCTCCAAGCTGGTCCCCAAACCGTCCCCAGAGGCTGACTCTAAACGGCAACTGTGACTCCATCAGTGCCCTTTCCTCCACGTTCTCCACCCTTAACTCCGTAGCCGGGCATCCCAGCTTTGGAGGTCCAGTCCTCATGCCCGGCCACGCCCCTGACCCCCTGCCTTTGCGTGTGCTGGTCCATCCGCTTGGGACCCCCTTCCTCCACCTGCCCAGGAGACCTCCTGCTCACTGTCGTGACAGTCGTGTGGGGCTTGGTTTATCTGTTCACCTGATAAGTGCCAACTCTGGTGCTATGCCCTGGGCATGGCAAAAACAGGGCAGACCCAGCCCTGGCACCCTCGAGTTTGTGATCCCTGCTGCCATTGCCCAGGTAGATCGTGAGTCCCCCAGGACTGGGACCGCCTGGCTCTCCAGAGCTGAGCTCGGTGCCACACGCAGTATGTGCTCCTTAAATGTTTCTTGACTGACTGACAGACCAAATGAGTGAATGAATAATCATAACCCTTTCCCTCTTCACTGTCTCCCTGCTCCTGGGCAGGGGCTGCGTTGGCCTGAGTTGAGTCACCTGCTCACAGGAGGTGCTCAGTCCTAGGACACACTGCTCCCCTGGGAGAGGGAGGAGCGAGTAGGGAAGGGGGCAGTGAGGGGTGAGGAAACTGAGGGCTCTGGGTCCTCAGGGCTGGGAGCCCAGGAGTCTGCAGCCCTCTCCCTTCTACTCCCAACTATTTCTGAACTCACGGGGAGAGGTGGCCTGTCCCCAAGGGCCTCCAGCTCAGAGGAGGGGATTCCAGGGAGGCTGGCTGAGCTCCTCCAGCTGGTCCCTGCCCTTCCCTGAGGTCCAGCCCTCTCCCCAGCTCTGCCCACGCCTCGAGCTCAGAGCAGGTGCAGGGGCACTGAGGGCCCCACGTGGTGCAGGCAGGGCCTGGCCCCTACTGTCTCCCCCTTCTCAATGCTTTCTTGTCTGCTTTTCTTTTTTAAATAGTATTTTAATGGTTTGGTGGTCGCTGCAGAAATAGTATACGTTTGTTCCATCAGTTTGAAGCAGACACCAGTGCCTAAGGATGAATGGTCGTCTCTGGAATCCCACCGCATCAAGTCGACCTGAGCCCCATCTGGGTAATCATTTGGCAGGTGCGTTTCCGCTCCATCCCAACACTTGTGACACGACACGGTGTGCGTGCACCGAGTCCTTGGGAAGGTGGGATACTAGGAAATGCGTTAGTTTGACACTTGCTTTTTGCACTTAAAAATATACTATGGACATCACCCCAAGGTAATGCATCCAGAGTTAACTCTTTCTCTCTAACTGCTGTGTAGTGCTTCCTGGGGGCGTGTAATTGTTTAAATGGCACGCTATGGACACCTCGGCCTTTTCCCCCGTGTGACAAGGACTGTTGCACTAAACGTCCTGCTACTCTTCCTTAAGTTCTGGTTGGGCTCCCCCTCCCAATTAGGACAAATTCCCCACCGAGGGGTCACGGGATCAAAGGGTATGCGCATTTCCATTTTTAACAGATCTTGCCATTTTACTGCCTCAAGTGCTCAGAGCATTCACAAGCGCTCCCGGCCCGTGCGTGCCGCTGCCCCTGCCCTGGCCGCCCTAGATGTTCGCTCTCACTTGTCTACACCTGTGCCAGTGTCGTGGGCAAAAGCTGGCGGCGCATTCTTCTGAAACTGTGTTTCCTAAATACGACTAAGGTTGAGCAACTTTTCATGTGTCAACTGGCCTCTTTTATTTCCTCTCCTGTGACTTTTTTTTTTTGTTTTTTTGAGGAAGAATAGCCCTGAGCTAACATCTGCCGCCAATCCTCCTCTTTTTGCTGAGGAAGACTGGCCCTGAGCTAACATCTGTGCCCATCTTCCTCTACTTTATATGTGGGATGCCTGCCACAGCACGGCTTGCCAAGTGGTGCCGTGTCCACACCCGGGATCCAAACTGGCGAACCCCGGGCCACCAAAGCGGACCATGCGCACTTAACCACTGCGCCACCAGGCTGGTCCCCCTCTTCCGTGACTTTTTGAATCTAATCCTTTGCCCAGTTTTCAACTGTGGTGTCTTTGTTTTTAAAAATTACCTTATAGGACCAGTTTGAACATTATTGATATTGACAAATAAAAAGGGCAAGCAATAGGATATATTGGAGTATATGAGGAAGCCATTTGGTATAAACCTAATTCAGCCTGACTTTGTTTTTCCAAAACGGCCTGACTCTGGCCATTGAGCATGTACTGTATATCTGCTTAGACATTTTGAGATAAAGGTGCAACTCCCCTCCCCCTCCCAACGTTGGTATCTCCTTAAAGATTAAGTATCTTTCTTTAGGCTGGGAACTGATTGCAGCGCTCATCTGTGACCTCCCGGCTCGAGGCAACACACCTGCCACTCTGCGGCGTTCACTGAGATGGCAGACCTATCTGTCGTTTCCATCAATCGCTGTGCTGACGGAGCAGCCTCGTGACTATTGTGGGAGGGACATTTCAATCATATGTGAAACACCCTCTTTGAGGGTATGTAACCACACTGTGTACCCCACTTGTTTGGAGTGCTCTGTTCCTTTGTGGAAAGACTCTCCAGGGTTATAATCCTCAGATTTAAGCTCAGAATAAACTCACCAACATTTTCATTTATAGATTGGTTATGGATTATTTTCATCGACAATATTAATCCTTTGTTATATGTGTTGCAAATATTATACTCCAGGGTAACAGTTGACTTTTGCTATACGGAAGTTTCTATATACTTAAATAATTTTTTAACTTCTTATTGTGGAAATTTTAAAACATACTCAAAAGGAGTAGCAATAGCATGATGGACTGCCCCCTCGCGCACCTCCCAGCTCCAGCCGTGACGGGGATGAGGCAGCTTTGCGCCCACTGTGAAGCTCCCTGTCAGCCTTGCTTGTGGTGGCTTTTGCAATCCGGAGGTGGTTGCTGGTGCGTAGTCGAGTTTCTCAGTCTTTCCTTTTGTGGCTTCTGAGCTTCATATGCTACTCAGAAAGGTCTTCCCTCTCCACGATTATTAACCAAACCAAGGCAAACAGGTTCTTCTAGTCCTCTTAAAATATGACTTCTTATTTTTGCAATGGTGGCGTGGCAGTCTTCCATGTGGAGGGCCGTCGTTTATTGACCCAGCCCTCATTCCTGAACACGAGCTGGCTTTGATTCCCCTCTGTTGTAAGTCACGCTGTACTGAGCAGCCAGGCTGACTTCTGCCTCCTCACCGGGATTATTTCAAAGCAAACCCCAGACATCAAATCATTTCATCCACAAACACAAGACCTTAAAACCTTTTCTATCATAAAATCTGTTAATCCTCTGGTCTTTTTGTCTTGCACTTTCAATCTTATTTATATTTTGAATAGACAGCCTATTCACAGGGTTCAACACTCAGAAGAACAAAAGAATACACTGAAGACTTCGTTTCCCACCCCGTTCTCCAGCTGCCCGGGTCCTTCCCTGGGAAATGACCAGCATTATCAGCGTCTTGTGTATCTTTAGGGTCATTATATACCACATATAAAAGCGAATTATGTGCTTTCCCCCTTTCAAAATACAATAGCTAAGCTACTTGAACAATGATCTGCGCTCAGGTTTTGTTACTTAACAACATGCCTTGGAGATTGTTTCATAGGGAGCATCCTAGTTCTTTTTTCTAGCTCCATCCCTCCCCTTGCGTGGATGTGGAGCGGAGTTCAGCTGCCCCATCTCGACTGGCGCACATTTGGCTGCCTTCCAGCATGGACAGTGTTGCAGGGACGAGCCCTGTACACACACCGTTTCGCTCTTGTGTGTGAGGGTGTCTGCAGGGTCAGTTTCTGGGGGCGGAAGTGCCGGCTCAAGGCGGGCACGTGTTCACGATGGATGGACGGTGCCAACTGGTCTCTGGCGGCTGAGTCAGTTTACACACTGGCCAGTAGAGCAGGAGTGCTCCTCCTCCTGCTCTTGCAAATGGCGCGTGTCACCATGTTTTTAATCTCCACTGATCTGGTAAGTGAAGAACAGTATGCTAGGAGACATACTTTTCAATTGTCTTTTTAAGAGCGTTATTGTGCATCTTTTCACGTGTTTAAGGGCCCATTTGAATTTCCCCTTTTCCAGTAATTGTTTCTTCATAGCCTTTGCCCATTTTCCTCCATTTGAGTCATAGTTGGTTCATTTTTAAATGACTTCTGGGAACTCTTTATATATTAGAGAAATCAGCCCTTTGCCTACGTTATGAGTTGCAGTTTCTCCCCAGTTTAAAGTTTTTCTTTTGACTTGGCTTGTGGTAGTTTTTGCGATGCAGAAATTTTTATTTTTTTATGTAGGCACATTTATCAATCTTTTCTTTTGAGGCTTCAGGTTTTGTGTGATACCTAGGAAGGCCTCCCCACTCCGGGATCTTTATTTTTTCATTCTCCGGGGTTTCACTGAGTATTACAAAACATGGTCTGCTTTTCACGTGGGATGGCCCATAATCAGGTGGGGAGACCACCCTTCATTTAACCAGTCCCCCACAGCTGAACATTTAGGCTATTTCTGATTTTCCTGAATTACAAACAACACAGCAGTAGAAAGCCTCGTCCGTAAATATTCTGTTTTATTAGGTTACGTTCCCAACAGTGACCCTCATTCCTTTCCCCAAATGGCCCTCCAGAATGTCGGGCTGCACTTCCGCCTCGGGGCACATTTATGCCTCTTAAAATGCCCTTGGAGCCCAAGGCAGAGAGGCGAGAACCCAGGGGGAGACTCCCTCCCGGCCTGCTTGCACCTTTCCTGGCTTGTGAGCCACAGAGGGGATTGTGTCCAAGATGCTGGCGGAGGGGGCCAGCAGGAGGAGCCTGGAGGGGGAGCAGGGAAACCCGGAATAGCCGCTGGGGTCTCACTCAGAGCCTCCTTTACTCGGAATTCTGTACTCCAGTCAGCTTGCGCCTGGCTTTAGGAGCAAGGCAACACATGCAGAAGGGGGTAAGGCTGCTCCTGAGAGGCCCCGGGGCCCCTGTAGTTTCCAAAGGAGGAGCCAGTACGAGCAGAGTAAAAGGCATCAGTCAGAAAACAGCCTGGACCACTCAGCGCAGGGCTGAGCCGTCCCACAGGTCCCAGCAATGACGAGGAGGAGCACATTCGACTGGGCCATCTCTGAATTTGCTTCGAAACCTGAGATTCTGAAGGCATCTTGAACGTTGTGGTAGGCGGAATAACACCCCCTCCCCAAAGAGGCCTCTCCCTGTGTCGACGAAAATAGTCCATAACCAATCTATAAATGAAAATTTGGGTGAGTTTATTCTGAGCTTAAATCTTAGGATTATAACCCGGGAGAGTCTTTCCACAAAGGAACAGAGCACTCCAAACAAGTGGGGTATACAGGGTGGTTATATACCCTCAAAGAGGGTGTTTCACATATGATTGAAATGTCCCTTTACAATAGTCACGAGGCTGCTCCGTCAGCATAGCGATTGATGGAAACAGCAGATAGGTCTGCCGTCTCAGTGACCGCCGCGGGGTGGCAGATGTGTTGCCTTGGGCTAGGGGGTCACAGATGAGCGCTGCAATCGGTTCCCAGCCTAAAGAAAGATGCTTAATCCCCAAGGAGATGCCAACGTTGGGAGGGGGAGAGACGTTGCACCTTTATCTCAAGGGCCTTTGCTCTTGCCATAGGGACTCTCTAAAGCAGATATACAATGCATGCTCAATGGCCTCCTTCAGGCCGTTTTGGAAAGACAAGGTCAGGCCGAATTAGGTCCACACAAAATGGCTTCCTCATATACTCCAATATATCCTATTACTTGCCATTTTTATTTGTCACCTGAATCCGCAGAATCTGAGACTCTGTTAGGCTGTGTGGCAAAGGGGAATTAAAGTTGCCGATGGAACCAAAATTGTTCATTTTAAACCCTAAAATAGGGAGATTATCTTGGACTATCTGAATAGACACTATGTAATCAGAAAGATTCTTTAAAGCAGAAGCAGGAGGGCTGGCCCCGTGGCCGAGTGGTTAAGTTCGCGCGCTCTGCTGCAGGCGGCCCAGTGTTTCGTTGGTTCGAATCCTGGGCGCGGACATGGCACTGCTCATCAAACACGCTGAGGCAGCGTCCCACATACCACAGCTAGAAGAACCCACAACGAGAAATATACAACTATGTACCGGGGGGCTTTGGGGAGAAAAAGGAAAAAATAAAATCCTAAAAAAAAAAAAAAAAAAAAAAATTCTAACAACAACAAAAAAAAGCAGAAGCAGGAGGCAGAAGAAGGGTTCCGTCGGAGTGATACAAAGTCAGAGAGACTGCATGGGCCGCGCCGGCTTTGAAAACGGTGGGGCCACAAGCCCAGGAGTGTGGGCTGCCTCTGGAAGCTGGAAAAGGCAAAGAAAGGATGCTCCGCAGAGCGTCCAGCAGGAAGCCTGGGGACGTGCTTGACTTGAGCCCAGTGAGACCCGTTCTGGACCTGACTGACAAAGCTGCACGAGGATAAATGTGCAGGGTTTCAATTTGTGTTAGCTCCTCACGGCAGCCTAGGAGACGACCACAAACAGGATCCAGCACTGCGCAAAACAGGGGCCCAGAGCGGAGGAGTCCTTGTCCCGGGGCGCGGCCTCTGGAAGCAGGATCCGCATGAGAGGCACAAACCTCTAGCTCGGGTCTGTTTTTCACTCGGTCCTGCCGCACGTCTACCTTTTTAATGCTGAGCCCCAGGTATCCCGAAAGGTAAATTATGTCCCCTGGAGAGATTATTCAGTTAACCGGAGGATGCGTGGTTTCTTTTTCTGGGTGAACCGGGCTCTCCCCTCAACTCGAAGGGCGAGGTTCTGTGCGCCTCCCCCAGTGGCAGAAGCTGTCCAGATGTGGGGGACCGGAGCCCTGGGGCTGCAGCCACAGCGGGGCTCAGGGGCCACAGGGGAGCAGGAGCCCAGGTACCCCCACCTCCACCCCCACCCCGGGGGGCTCCGGGGAGGCTGCGGGCGGGCAGGCGCGGGGAATCGGGCGGCGCTTTGGTCGGGCGGCCTAAGGAGTTAACCCCGGAGGAGCGGTGGTCGGGTCAGGTTACTTCCCTTTACACAGTCGGGGAAGGAGGAGTCAGGTCCTGGTGGGGCAGTGGCGGTGGTTGGCCGGCTCCTCGTCCCGGGAGGGGGCTCCGAGCGGCCGAGGTTGAGCACCCGGACGGCCACAGGCAAGTGGAGCGCGGCTCCGGGGCTGCGGGGCGGGCGGGGGGCGCGGAGGCTGCGGGGCGGTCGGGGGGCGCCGGGGCTGTGGGGCGGTCGGGGGGCGCCGGAGCTGTGGGGCGGTCCGGGGGCGCCGCCGAGGTCAGGAAGGGACCTGGACGCGAGCGTGTGCGGAGCCCCGACGTCTGCTGCCGACGCCCCCTCCCGCGTGGGCGCACCGAGTCCCACTGGGTGCGGTGAACTCTTGTGGCCAAGATCCCGCTCCAATGTCGCCGCCCGGGCAGCCCCCAGTGGGCCTGTCAGCGGTCAGGGGCCTCCCACATGGAGAAGCAGCCCCAGGGGCGGGGGCGCAGACCCTCTGGGGAGGAAAAATGGAGAGACCCCGCGGGTGCCGCGGACCCCGTCCCACTGGCATCTGAGGGGGTGGAGGACCGGTCGAGCCCGGGACCTCAGCGGCCGGGTTTTGTGGTTCG